ATAGTGGCGAATGGGAACCGCCTTACACTTCCCAGAATTGAACTGAAGCAGATTATGCAGCGACCACCCATACGCTATGTCCAGGTCTCGCTGAAGTACATCTTGATCTTGATGGGTCGGTGATCGTCCGACACATCTTAACATCATCAGTAAACGGCAAGAAATCTGAGGCAGTCAAATACGTAAGCTCGTTAATGAACACGAGAAACAGACGCGGCCCCAGAACTGATCCTTGTGAAACTCCGCATTCGACATGAATCGGATCGGACAGGGCACTTCGAACTCTGACCTGCAGTTGCTGATTCTGCAGGAAATTTCTGATCCACTTAAATCAGGATGACTAACTCCACAGCTTACGAGCCTGGGGAGCAAAATGCACTGGTCCAGTCGCTCGAAGGCTTTGGAGAAGTCAAGGTAGCTGACGTCTGTCCCTCTGCCTTCATCGGGCGCTTCCGTCCAACTTCTGCGTGCAATCACTAGGTTGGTAGTGCACGAACGCTGCTGTCAGAAACCGTGTTGCTCGGGTGCTGTGATGTTGTGGCGTTCGAGATCGTCTACTAAAGCCTCAGCGATGATTACCTCCATCACCTTTGACAGCACAGGGAGGAGGACCACTGGGCGATAGTTGGCGGGTTCCGAACGATTACCGCTTTTGAAAATTGGCGTAATTAAGCCATGTTTCCACATGATAGGCACACTTTGCTTATCCAAGTACGTTTGGAAGAGATAAGATGATGGCCCGGTCATCGTTGTTGCTGCTACGTTCAGCGCCCTGGAGTTCATTCCGGGAGAACTGTAGGTGCGTAGTGAGAGCATTTTCTTCAACACAGCTGTGGCAGTAAACTCGATGTTAGTGTATGTTGAAGTTGGGGTTAGGGATGTAGGTGTATACAACTGGCCGACGTCTTTTTGGAGGGTTGGGGCATACTGCATTCATATGACGTTGGGTGCCTCTTCGGCACCTTGTGTCACTCCAACTGGTGTGTTAAATGGGTAGATACCGAGCTTCACTTTCCGGATTGTGTTAACATGCTTGTATATGAGCTTTTTGTTGTTGGCAAATTTACAGGCCAAATGTTGTTGGTGGGTCAGTTTGTCCTCACGGACAACTATGTTACACTGGTTGTGCTGGGTCTCGTAATCGCTCCAGGTTTCGGGACTAGGACGAGCTTTGTACGTGCGCCAAGCTGCATACTTTATTGTCATGCGCTTGCAGGTTTTACTTCTGATGATAGATAAGGGATTTGTGAAGCGAAAGCTCTTCGTTTCTGCAACAGTTTGATCATTCTCGCTCCTTGGTTGCTTAACACTAGAACGCCGGGAGCGGTCATTTTGACCGCTCAGCGCTTTTAAATGTGCATATTTTCTACATTTATGGACATTTTTCAAAGATATTTGGCAACTTTTAATATTTTTGGACGTCCTTCATTACTGTAGATTTTCGTTTTCATATCTGTTATAGTTTTCGAGAAAAGAGGTAGCTGTGTTCATACTACCTAGAAAGCCCGTTAGCGGTCAAAATCACCTTTTCTCTCTAATCCGGTTCCTCTTTTTAATTTTAGCCACCACTATCATTTCTGACAGTTATATACTATAGCAATCAAAACGGGAGTAAAAACTAGCCGAATCACGATTTTACTGTGATATTGTGCGTTCAGTCAGATAAATTCCAGTGACATTTTTGTACACAATGGCACTTCTGAAGAAAACAGCCTTTAAGGTTTTACGAGAACTTACAACGATCGATGACAACGAGTCTGGAGACGAGAACGTTTATGATGATGATGAGTACTCCATCTTCCATGAGTCAGCAGAAGATCACAGCATGTCTGATAGTCAAACGTCTGATGATTGCACTCCATATGAGGAACCTAGAGAGAGTGTATCAACCGATTCGGTATCTCCCGGTGAGCTTCACGTATCGAAAGATGGTAGCACGTGGATCGCAGTGGAGTTCGAAACATCTACTGTTGGTAGGATTCCATCACAGAATGTGTTTAAGGCTAGACCAAGACCAACTCCCTATGCTAAGAAATGTGTGAAATTTGGTGAGCTGTCGAGCACTTTTGACATCATAATCACGCCCCAGATGCTGAAACATATTCAAGTATGTACTGAAGCTGAGGCCAAGAGAGTTTTAGGTGTCAGTGGAGCGTAAGTCTTCCAGAGCTGCGTGCCTTTATTGGTCTACTTTACATCAGAGGTTCATGGGTCTGAAGAACATTCCGTTGAATATGATGTGGTGCGATAGATATGGACTGCCTATTTTCAGGGAGACAACTGGCAAGAACAGCTTCAAAGAAATAATGAAGTTCCTCCGTTTTGACATGCGAACTATCCGATGTGAAAGACTGCTAACTGACAAGTTTGCTTTTGTATCTGAATTGTGGAATGCATTCATTCGCAACTCTCAACAATGCTATGTGCCTGCGCAGAATCTCACAGTTGATGAGCAATTGTTTCCCTCAAAAACCCGTTATCGTTTTCTCCAGTACATGCCCAACAAACCAGATAAGTTCGGTATCAAGTTTTGGATGCTGGCAGAAGTAGGCAGCAAGTGTCTCGTTAATGGATTTCCATATCTCGGGAAGGACGAAACTCGGTTAAGAGGAGAAAGTCTTGCAGAGAGCGTGGTATTGCGCTTGGTGTCACCATTATTTGGAAAGAGGTACAATGTCACATGTGACAACTTCTTTACATCGGCAGCATTATGAGAAATGCTGGCCAAGAAAAACACAAGTATGGTGGGAACACTTCGAGCTAATAGAAAGGAAGTACCATCGATTTTGAAGCAAAGAAATAGAGAGCTGTTCAGTTCACTTATGATGAGGAATGAAAATAAGCACACATTAACATCCTACCAGTGTAGAAGAAATAAGAGTGTTTTGGTTTTTAGTTCCCTGCATTGTAACTCTTCCGTTCAAGACTCTGGAAAAAAGAAACCCGAGACTGTGTTGTTTTACAACTCCAAAGAGTATGGTGTGGATGTACTCGACCAAATGACAAGAGCACTCACTGTGAAGTCATCATCTCGACGATGGCCAGTCGAAGTCTTTTTCAACGTACTGGATTTGGCTGGCACAAATTCCAGGATAATTTATAGCAGTGTTTGCGGAACTAAAATATCTCGCCGGTCGTATCTAGTGGGTCTTTCGGAAGAACTGCTTACATGTATACATCACACAAGGTACGTGACAACGGAAATTACGACGAACAACTCAGCGGAGTCGGGAAGTCGTGTGAACATTAAACGTCGGCAATGTCAGATTATATATATATATATATATATATATATATATATATATATATATTATACACAATCTGTGGTACAGATATTGTGCCATCGGAATCATGGCTGAATAGGAAAACAATATGAATAATAAGAAAAGAGCAACAAGAAATGCTTTTTTTGTCAAGTTTACCACTCACAGTTTTTGAAATTTTTCAGTTTGTTCGTTTTTAGGGGGAGGAGGAAGGGACACCGCAACACACTGATGCACACGTCCGCCATTGACATCGATCTTGAGCCATAACTTCCAAGGTTTTCAACCAGCAAGTATCCTCGTCTCTCGGACCCCAACCAGGTAGTCGACAACAACCAGCCGAGGCCAATTGTTTCGTCAACTTTTTCATGCGGCTTCTCCATGTTGTAGGCTGTCCACCAGACCGTCTCTTCCAGCCCTGTCCAGCAAGTGCAAACAACGCACGACGGGGGTAACGCTGGACAGGCATGCGCAATACGTGTCCCAACCACCGCAGTTGATGCAGTGAGATGAGCTCCTCGAGCGAGTGGCTTCCACGTCCCAAAACACGCTGTCTAACTTCCACATTGCTTACGTGGTGCTGCCACCACACACGGGCAATGGACCGCAGACAGCGGTGCTCGAAGACGGATAGCCTGCGCAAGTCATCTTTACGAATGGGCCAGGTCTCGCATCCGTACAACAGTACAGCACGAACAGTTGCACAATAGACCCGCCCTTTGATGGAGAGACGAATATCGTGGCGACGCCACAAATGCCTCAGCCTAGAAAAAGCGAGGCGTGCTTTCGAGATGCGCATCGAAATCTCGTCTCCAACAGCCCCGCCAGCAGTGATGTAACTTCCCAAGTAGACAAAGCTCTCCACAACCTCCAGTGTCTCACCAGCAAGCGTGAGTGCAGGCAGAGGCACCTGCCAGTCTTGAAGGAGAGCCTTGCATTTGGATGGCGAAAAGCACATACCATACTTTGATGCTTCAATCGTCAAGCGGTTTAATGCAAGTTGGACGACCTGTGGATCGTCACCTAGCAAGACGATATCATCAGCATAATTCAAATCAACAACTCAGATTGGTTACTGTAAAGGTAACAAATCACAAAACAAGTGCTCTGTTTGTGAAAAAATAGTTTGCGGCTCATGTGGACAGATTGCGCGAGTTATCACTTGCTTCAAGTGCAAATTGAAGTAGGTATACGGAATTGTTTACAATTTTTGAAAGAAAACTAAACCTTAATACAATCATTTTTCTGTTACAGGTATGTTCCATACATTAGTTTTTAATAAATGCCGTGACAAAATTCTTAACTGAAAGTTGGAATAAAAAATATAGCAGTGCGGTCATTTTGACCGGTCCCGGGCGTTCTAGGTATAACGTCGGAGCGATGTTTCTAGTGTTAACGCCCTATCGTACTGTCTCTCTGTACGGTCTACCCAGGAACTGGGTCCATTGTCTATTCCGACTAATGAAATTACATGCAATACCTCTGGGTTGCTTAAGCCTGTATGATCGGTAGATGCACGCTGCCATTTTACACTAATTTAGTCTTAATTACTTTTTGCTGCGTGACGACAAATTTTTGCTTATAACCTGCAACTATCTTGTTACAACTGTGATTGCAACTTTACAATGTATATGACAAGCGTTAAGTATTTTTTAGGAAATACTAATCAGGTCGGAGCAATTGTCTTCCTTTATCTCGCTTGCGCACTCAACGTTAAGATGTGCTTCTTTTTTTCAGAACCCTTGGTGGCATCCTGGATAACCACACCTTGTGCTACACATTGGAAGTTTCCTTCTTCAGCTATACCAATCTCACAACCGGTGAAACGGTTCCCTATACCGAAGCAAGATGTATCCTTTGTAAAGATTTGGAGTGCGCTTTTGTTGTTTGCCGATCTTGGCGAACAAACTTCAGTGAACAAATGCACAACGGAATTGTCAACTCGAGCTACCAGTATTCCGAAACAATTTTAACAATATGCTTTTGTTTATGTTATATAGCTGCTCCGAAGTTGAACTCCCAAGGGGTGAAAGTGAGCCCAAGTATAGCCAAAAATCCGAAAGTGAAGGATATCATGGCTAAACGAATGACTAAGAGAACCGAAAACGCGGTGGCCTGTTACAGAACGCAGTCTTTTGGAATAGAGGTATTCCTGATGATAGTCGGTCGATCTTCTGTGAAATCATCTCTTGAGCAAAGTGTTATCAGAGCTGGTATCCTATAGTCTGATCCAATGTCCTTCTTTAGAGACGCTCGACAGCAGCGATTGTGGCAAGATGAGCAGCTGAAACCGAACACTTCTGTAAGCTCATCGTATCGCATTACCCTCATTCTACCGCCCGTTGGCTGGTGTTTGTAATCCATTTCCAATACACGAAAAAGTGATAGGCCCCTATCAACAATACATGCCTTCGGTAAACTGTGATAGAGTCGATTGATGACCAAACGTTTGCAACCAAGTTGCCAAGCTCGGTGGGTGAATGAACAACTGAATCGTCACCCAGAGTTACCGAAACATTTTGATCTAGAGTGCGTCTGGCTAAACATCCTATGCAATGAATCCGCGCTCAGGATATGTTGATGGAGAGAATAAAAAGTCGTGTAGAAATGTTTATGGTTAGGCACCGAATTTGATCATGACCGGAAAATGCAAGATACATAACTACACCGATGGTGTGCAAACGATTGCCTACTTTCCGCGAATGATTCGTGTGTGATAACTGGAAGTGTGACTATGCTGGCCCCACGGTCTCGCTCCGGATATCGCATGCCCCTCTGAAGAGCATTTCCTCCATAAAATCGAGCACCAAACACAAATTGACTATGCTGGGACTATCTCATTTCCCCCGCCGTGGTAAGGTTGCTCATAACAAGGTTAGTTGTCTCATCGTGGAACGCAAAGCATCCAATAGGTGAAAGTAACTCTGCATTCATCACGCATGGACTTGCATATCACATTACCCAAGTCGTCAGTGACCCGTGATGACGTTGTGATAAGTGAAATTTGGAGTTGGACATTAAGTGCCTCATTGACAGTTAGGTGAGTTCACACAGTACCATCTCAAGTCCAACATGAGTGACATGATTGACAGCTGTCTCCTAAACAAAATCAAATCAATCAACAACAGCAGTACATCAGCCGTTTGAACTGATGCTTCGCTACCATACAACCATGAGGACCTATGAAATAAAGAATTATAAGAGGGAGAGAAGGGTGGACTTACCTGAAAAGCTTAATGCCCTAAGCAAACATTCAGGGCCAAGGCGCCTACACCTCGTGTAGACAACATACTGTCACAAACAGCTGGCTATCGTGCAACGATAAGGCGGCATCGGCGAGACAGCTTCCTTGCGGCTTTCACTGCCACGCGTCATAATCAGCCATTACCCCGCAGATAACTCAGCACCAAACACACTTTAAACAGACAATCCGATTAGGAGGCGGCAGCAGACGCGCCACTGGTGTCGGTTGCGAGCCATATCCTGTTAGGTTGCGAGCCATATCCTTTTAGGTCTCGAGCCAAGCACAAGGCGAGTCAGGTGGACTCCAGCCCGGAAGGCGAGACGGACCAACGGCACCCAGTTTGGTCGTCAGTGACTTCTGTCCACCTCGGGGCTTGCGCCACCCTACACCTGGTAAACTGAACAAGGCCCTCCTAGGTAAACGGTGACCAGGCATGTGTAGCACGTATGTCTTTGATGCATATCGGCTCTCGCGTTGGCCTAATCTCGAGGTCCCACGATAATAGTCAGAAATCTATGGTTTACAAAGTGCATCAAACCCTCAGAATTTGATCACCTCTCTAAGGTGACCATTTTTATTTATGTTGTTGAAACGTTCACCATGAAAACTTTATGAATGCATACCTGTGTATTTTGACCGATTTGGTCCAGTTCCTTACGTCGTCAATTTAATACGTAAATGCGTACAAGCAGTATACGGTCCCATAAGCTGGAGCGATCATTTGTACACTGAATAGATTTCACCTTTTATCCATACTAATAAAATAAATTTGGACAGTGGAATTTTAAAGCCTAAATTTTCCCTCGGGTCTTATGCCCTATCACCTAATATAAATATAAAAATTGTATACCGTTTGACGGTGATCGACACCGTCTAACTGAGTGGTCTGATCAATCGGTACAACGAGATCGCATAGGATTAGTTAATTGTTCATGTTTGCTACAGTGGATCCCCGAATGGGCTTTTGAGGTGATTGGCAGTTTGAATGTATTATAGGATTAATAAACTACGAACCATAACAATTGTAGGTTTAACCAAAGTCCAAGTAAGGTAATACGGCTATCCATGAAACCGGCCGCAGGTGACCTTCTCCTATGCAAGATATTCCTTCGATGTGCTTCACCAGCACCTCCATACTCCAACTGGCTGCATGCCGGTGTGGCAAAATAGCATGTAAGCCATCAACTGTTTAACAAACGCATTTCAAAGGCCTCAGCCCGTTTCGTCATGAGGATCATGCAAGTATGGCACCTTTTTGTTCTATGCCAGTGCGTCAGTGGAAGTATGCCTTTCCCTGATATAACTTTTTAGCTTGTAAGCTGTAATCGGTCATCACAGAAGCTCATCCCACTCGTAGCCAACAATAAATAGTGAAGAATGTAAACTAGAAGGAATTGCAAAACCTACTCATACTTGCAATATTTTGCAGATACGCCAATTACAAACTGATGGATAATCTCGGCAAATAACGACGGCGTTCCAGAGATTTTGAGGGAAAAATTGTTGCACTCCGGCCAGGGCTTTACAAAGAATGAAGAGCTGTAAAGATAATCCAAGTGCTGATTGCATTATCTCTGCAGTTATGGGTACTTTATCGCAAAAGCCGATTGATCGAAGTCATCAGAATTGGAGGAAGGTTAGGTCATCAATTCCGGACCATCGATCACTCGGTGGTGACCTGAAGAAGATATGAGTGATTTGCGGATGAATATAGAAAGTTAAAACATATAGCAGGTTTCGAGTGATATTGCAAGTAAAACACAAAGATAGGCCGATAAACTTCAACAAATGACTCCTGTGCTCTTTTTGTCTCAACTATAACCCGGCCCTTTTTTAATCAATCTATCATCATTTATTTGCAAAGTTAAAATCTTTTCACTTTCGCTATTATCAAGTACACCTTGATCATTTTGTTGAATACGCTTAAGCTTTTTATACATCGTATACAACAAAGTAGCCTATTCCAAACCAGGTTGCACCTTACAAGACAAATGTTCTCTCTGACTGTGCTCCTGAATGGAGGTACTGCAATCATACATCCTATGCCGCCTATTTCATCTCTGGTTTCCAATCGAAATTGCATCGTGTAGTGCTCACTATGCACTTTATGCCACACAACTTTATGTAGGAAACTAAGGTTTACATGTAATCTGCGTAGCCATAAAGGTTCAAGTTTTAAATCACTACACCTTTCGTTATAAGGAACAACTGTGGGGACACCAAAGATGCGTTTGGCGAGGGTACCTTGAACATTTTCTATGATCTCTCAGTCACCTTTACATAGATTGCTGAAGGTAACGCAACAATATTCTAACAAGGATCTTATGTTAATTTTATATGCCATGAGTCTTGTCCATTTCAGCGTTAGTAATAGACTGATACGTCCCATTGCTTGCGTTGCTTTACTATTAGCATGCTTCACGTGTTGGCTGAAAGTTAGGGACTTGGAATGCCTCAATTCTAAATCTGTGACATAAGAACACATTGGCATCAGATCGCCATGGAGTAGAAATAATCCTGTCTTAATATGACATACATAAGTCATGATATTACTTTTTGGTGTGAAGTACATCTGACATTTTGCCATTTTGTAGCTCACATGTCATATTTGCTATCTTCGTTTTGTATTGGGACGATTGGAACGTACCTACTACCTTCAAATCATCTGCAAACAAGTCTGAGCTTCTCAAAGCAGGTATACTATTGTTTCTGTGCAATAAGAAAAGATGAGGACTTATGACGCAGCCTTGAACGACACGACTAACGACTTCCTCTGGCTTAGACATGAACCCCTTTATGTTCACTGACTGGGAGGGTTTAGTCAGATAGGATTTCAACAAAGAAAGAAGTCGATTTGATATGCGGAAGCTACTCTGTTTCGACAATAACTTGTGTGGGACTTGATCGAACACCTGCATGTCAAGATATAAGACTGTATTTATGACCAGTCAAACGCTCCGAGGAGATTACTTTAGAAATCAATTTGGCATGTTATGCCCGAACGCGACGTTGAAAAGCCATACTGTGAAGGCTAAAAATGACTGTACTATAAGAGGAAAGAAATGAGTTGTTCCTTTATTATTCTCTCCATCGAACGTGATAAGAAGGAGTTATGACTAATGGGTGATAATTTTGAAAATGTGTGTTAAGTCCAGGCTCCTGTCACGGTAGGACTACAGACTCCTTTCAACTTGCAGGATACTGCCCGGACTGTAAGGACAGGGAAGAATATTCAATAATAGTATTGGTATATCTTCACTACGACGTAGGGATACTATCTTGACCAGGGTTATGAGAAGGACGGAGCATGTTAATCAAATGTTTAATGACTCCGATGTTGAATTTTGAAAACTAGGCTGCACATTTGACCTTTATCCAGTGTCTGTCGGTTGCTTGGGTTTAAGGCGGTTTAAGAGGACCAGGAGGACACGTGCTTTTGAAGTGTATGGTGCTCTGGAGCCCATCACTGTTGGAAGTTCCTGTGTAGATGCAACATTAGTAGCTAGTAGCGGATCACTAAAATAAGGGACGTTTAAGCGCTCTATGCATATCTTTGTTCTATTAGTGTTGGGGTCTTAAATGAAGTTCTCCGAGTTTGTTGTATCA